GCATGAAGACGTACAAACTAGCCCCTATTGCCAACTTACTATTATTAAACAGCCTTGAATTCAATCCTCGTGAATCATTGTGACTTTTCCTTGGGTATAACTTCTCGCATCACCTTTTAACCTTCCTGAAATGGGCACCGCCACCATCGGAGAATGACAGTACGACCGTGAAAGCTATTGTTAAACTGCTGTTGCTGCGAATGCTTGCTGTCTAAAACGGGCTTAACTGACACCCCATTGTAACAAAGTTTTTCACAAAGAGCTCGCTCTCACCAGACATATACCTCATCCTCATCTTCTTATCGGCTTGTTCAACATTCCTCACTAAAAAGAGCTTGCTTCGCTGTATATCATGTACTTGCCGAAAGAAGAGGATGCACATGAAGCTGAAATGTCTTGAACCTCTCACAACATTTAGCGATAATGACTCACAGTTTATCATTCACTTTAACCTACCATTTCTATTGTGCATACTTTTATCTGTAAAAAGAATGTGCCTCTATATATAATGTGAAGATATCATCACTTTTTCGTATCCTCGAAGTTATGAGATATGTCCAACTAGGGACGATTATTTATGTATTTACCTTGAGACGCAAGAAAACACGTCCTAGGCATACACAAATGCAAGAGTGCAACTATAGTCGAAGCGAAATCGAACATTTTCGAGTCAGTCGGGGATCAAGTGACATGGTCAAGCATTAAATACTTTGGCGTGGCTGGAAAGTTTTGAATCAAAGAGACACGAAAAAGAAAGACAGTAAGGTAAATAAAAACTGGGTTGTCTGATTACACTGCACGCCGGGTGTGAGAAAAATCAAATTAAGTCAGAAAAGAAAAAAAAAACGCAAAATAAAAACAATAAATCAAGTATTAGTTGTGGTGCCTTTTCAGCGGCCGCGTCTGACATTTTTATACCTCTGAAAATGATATGAGTATGTTTTCGGTATAGTAAAAAGATACACAGTAATAACGGGATATCTAGCAAATCCGCCAAGAAATAGCGCGGCGATAAGAGGCCAAGAACACCAAGTCAATCTACACTCGAAGAAGTTGTTTATAATATTTTTTTACAAGAAGTTAAAAAGAGAGAATGATAGAAAGGAGATAAATACAGAGTCCACCGCCCCGGTAAAGGAGGCGGGTGAGTGGAGGGTTGCTTGTGAGGGCTGCAACATCATTCCAAGAACCCTGAACGAATCAACGGGAAACGTTTTCAATAGCGCATCGAAGAAACGCGTCTTTTTATCCGAGATGGGAACACGCGGTCAAGCACGCTAGGTTTGTATATAATCCGAAATAAAGAGAGGTAGACAAAGATGGAGAATGAAGTAAAGACACATAGGAAAGAACAAACGGCTAGTGAAGTCGGGCAACAAAAGAATCGACGCTCAAAGCACGGATGGGAGAAATAAAGCAGGTGCATTGAATTCGACCAGTGGAGGAAGCAAGCGCCCATCAAAATGGTGGTGCGTATTAATATAGATTTCTCACTATGCTTCCCACTTTTATTTGGCGCGATTTGATTTTTCAGTGAAAGAAGATAGCAATGCGTGGCCCGAAAGGATGCTTTCCTTGTTTGGGAGCACTGTAGCTTTTTTGTGCCTTTGAGTATTTTGTGGGGCACTAGCGTTGTTGACTGTTCATTCATAAAGGCTTTACACTATGACACTGCGTAGCTCGCATGTGTTTCTGTTTGCGTGAGTCCGTGTGCGTTTTGGGTTATAAAACTTCAAAGAAACATTGACTGAAAAAATGCACGAGGCATACTGATACATCTATATAGAAGCAAACAGTAAACCTCTTAAGCATGAAAGACTATAATTAGGTAATAATAATGAGCTTCGCGCATAGGTATGGATGGACATGTGCTATATGATTAGATATATTAAGACGAAACAGTGAGAATGAAATATAGGTCGTAGTAGTACGCTTTCCATCATGCATAACAAGCGTGATTTACTTTATCCAAATAATATATATCAATTTACTTCGTCCCCACTAATTATTTCTTTTCAACATCAGATTTTCCATGCCTTGTAATGGGAGATCGAAAACAAAACGTTCATGCAGTTTCTTGCGGTTGCACATTTATTGTCTGAGTAATCGGTACGTTGACCATGTGTTGGCGATTTATCACGCAGTGACATTACATATTGTGCATGGTGGTAAAATACCTCCTTGTCACAAAAACAAAACGAAGATGGAATAAATATACTCGAGGCGATCACTTCGAAAGAAACCGAAATACATAACCGATTGCTCCGTGTTTGAGCGGACAAGTCATCTTAAACTCTTTCTTCTCTCACACCCACACAAAAAGAAGTGGTCTGTTGAAATTCAAAGGAATGGTTCTTGTTTCTACGTGGACTCACTTGTCGTTTTCAATGGTATGGCGTGAAAACTGCATTGTATTGTCGCGCATTTCACGAATACGGCCAAACTTGAAATTCGCTTACGAAGCTGAGGAACGCGGGGAGATAAATTATTATTATGATCAGTTCAGAGCTCTCGCGTTCATGAAAGCAGCGCATTTTCCTACGCAGGCACGTCGGAATTTCTTCTTCCCGACTTCATGTAAGCCAAGCTAAAAGCTATGACGAAGTGCAAGGGCTATTCGCATAGAATCGGCACTTTTTATTTCTGTGATAATCTTCGTCTTCTTAAGCGTTAACTCATTTCCTCATACAAGAAAGAAAGCTTAGGAGACAGAGTCCTTCCCACTGAGAACAACACACATGACCATCTGAGGAAAAAAAAATCCTAATGAAGACACCAAGGCAGAGAGGGCCACGTAAAATATTCAAGAGTGATGGCGGCCGGTGTGGTAGCGGCGCCTTAAACGCTGCACGCTCTCTCTCATTAATATTCATGGCGCGTCGGGAATTAAGCGAAACGAAGCAAGTGTTCGGGACAGTTCCCGCTGTCCTGCAGATAATTATAACCGCAGAAAGTGCCTCGCTGGTCACTTTTAATGCCTCGTCCTTTTCTTCTCCTTTCTTTTCTCTGCATCACGCGTCAGCGGTGCTATTTGACGAACAGGAGCGCCCCCTCCCTTCTCCCATTTTCATTCCCCATAGTCAGGCACCATCGTCGTCAGCGTGCTATGTCGGTTTTTGTTTACCTCTGCTCCTTGCTTCGGAATAATTCCCATAAGTTCCGGCCACCGGTTCCACGGCCGCAGTGCCCGGGCCTGGTCAGCGCTGGAACGTCAAGGCCGGCACCGCGGCGAGGCTGGGAGTTTGCCACGACTATCTGCGTGTGCGTCATCGCTGATAAAACAGCGATGTGGTGCTTGTTTTCGGCATGCAAACAGGAAGAGTTTGGAAGCAGTCACGAATATCAGAAAGAAGGCGATGGAGAACATCGACGGTCGATCGTTGCGAACAGGTCGATCGGAACAGATTTGAATATAGTTTGCCCAACGCGAGGGAACAAACTGCAGAATAATTGCAAACTACGCTTGCTACAATGTCTATTTTCTTGTCTTGTTTTTATATGCATTGTTTCCAAGTGCTAAATTCTAATAATATAACGGATATGAGCAGCTGAGAAAGCGGAGGTACCATGTGGGTTATATAATTTAGGAGTTTACTTTGACATCGCCTGGAGGTCTTTGCCATTGAATCGGGTCTCTGTGAATATTGGAGCTCAAACAAGTACTTTACAAATCGAACTGGTAGTACTATAAGGAAAGGGGGGCAAAATATCAGGAAGTCGGCAGATTTTGCGTTTCCAGGAAAAAAAATGATTTTTTTTATTTCACTTGTTTATACACCACTTTGACTGCGAATGTTGCCAGAATATTCCCAGTCTCCTTTGCACTGAATGTCCAATTTGTTCAAACCTTAATCTTTAACGTGGTGATTAGTTCTTTCGCAAGTTCGTGTAGTAATTATACGAGGGAGCATGGTCGTGCCTGATCTCAGGAAGCGAGGAAAGTGCTCGGTATTCCAGCGCCCAGTCCCATCCTCGTCGGGCCCGGGGACCAGACGGCGAGATGCAGACCGATTCGCCCGAGCCACCGACTCAGTCGGATCACGCTGTTGCGTCGTTCAGGTTCGCGTCACTAGCCAATCAAGCCATGACAGAGTATGGTAAGTGCTCTGTCCACTGGATGAAAAGTTAATTTACGGAGCTCTCCACTACGGCGTCTCTCATATTCTAATGGTGGTTTTGGGACGTTAAACCCCACATATCAATTAGATGAAAAGTTAGCTCCTTGTGTATGTAGTCTGTGAAGGAGCGTAAAAGTATGACGCTGTTGAATAACGTTTTGTACTTCCTTTCCTTTATTACATGCATACGCTTGCCACTGAGAACAAAGATAGCCTGTAGCCTTACAAGGCATGGCCCAACTTTCGCTTATGCGAATATGAAACATCAGGTGTGGCCAAACGTCGTAGAGTCTTTGTGGCGGGTGTCATAAGTCTCCTTATGCGTGGACGTTTTTTTTTTTTTTTTTTTCAAGATCGTCACTTATTGTTTAGGTTCTTTTTTTCTACATGCCATTCTGTACTCTGTTGAACTAGGCCATCAAATCCTGTGAAACTGTCACATTTTCAACCAATCAGAGAAATCGAAGCTGCCATGTGAGTCAATCAGAGTTGACGAAACGGCGAATCGGACATGGTGGATTTTTACGTAGTTTCCAAAAGCATTTCAAGATGTTCCAGCGAACTTGTGAACAAGGGTGCCGTGGAGCCGTCGAAAAATTTTTACCTATGGATTTTTTCACACCTTTGTCCCGACTAGACAGGCC